AGGAAAACCAATAAGCAACTTTATTTATATGATATTTATGACGAAAATCAATGCAGCGATTACACTATTACCGGAATTGATTTGAAACATGACGAGGATACGGTAATTATTTACAGAATCAGTTAAATAGCACACATTTCATAATCGATGAAAGGATGTCACAAATCCAAATGATATAAATTTGCATTATATATAATCGATATCGAAAACCTACATATATCATAAAATTATTAGAATTTATTACTATTAAATTTAAAGTTAATTAAAAAACTTTTTTTTTGAAAATTATTTCTATTTTTCTAAATTATCTTCTACATTCCTGATTCTTTTTTCTATTTTCTTTCAGGTGTTTGATGTAACATTTTTGAATACGAAAACGATTTGTTTGATACTACAAAATCGTGACGGTAATTTGTACATAACAAAAGCAGCACTAAATTTTGCATTAAGATTGATAATCATTTGTAGCAACATTACTTTCACACAAATCATTTGCAAGTAAGTTGCTGAATTATTTGATTAATAATGAATTCATCAAAACTCTATTAAATTAGCTTATATTTTATTTTAGCTATCAATTTATAGTATGTAAAAATCACTAAAATATTACTATTTGTTTTATCATTAGATGAAGGATTAAGAAAAATTATGTGAAAAATTTTAGAAAGCATTATACAACATTGGTAATATACGATGAAAAAGGCCCGGTTTTGATATCTTATCCGTTATCATCACAAAGCAAAACTCAAAATGATCCACCAAAAATATGGCTTTTGCATTTGTCTAATTTTTATTCACGTAAAGGTGTTCGAACGGTTGTCATTGAACTCGCTATCAAAGATAAGAAAGGTATATTTAAAAGTAATCTTTGCAGCTGCTACTAAATTTTAATATTTTTTTCGTTAAATTTTCCTTGAGCTTTGATTTTTTTCAATTTTTTTTTCGTCGTTAAATTTTGATGAATTTTTCGTTAAATATTCTTTGAACTTTGATATTCTTCGATACTTCATCCTTTTCATTTCGCTGATGTGAAAGGAGCTAATTTCTTTCTGTCACTTTCATTTATCAAACGTTGACGGAATTTCAAAAATTTAGGTTCGATTTGACCTTTGTTTATCATTAAGTCTATTTCATCTTATAATCAAATTTTGTCATTATTTCTAATTCAATTATCCTAATAGCTCAGTTATTTTCTCAGAATTTAATTATTTAACATTAATTTGATTATGCGATATAAAAAATAAACTCCATTTTCAGAAACAGTCGTTGAATTCTGAAATATTTTGATATATTTAAAAGCACATAATTATTCCCTAATTATATGCTGAACAAAACATTTAACACTTTTTATTGATAGTATTAATAAATCAAATAAAAGAATATAATATGAATTCAATTACTTAAATAACGAATAAGTATTTATTATTTATTGAATATTGTTTTTATTAATAAATCTATCGATAGATAGCAAGAACAATTGGCTTTAACAATCGATCATAGAATATAATGCCTGAAAAAGGATCTTACTATTATTCTTCATCTAAAATTTAAATTTTAAACAACATCACTCTCTGCTTTTTAAATTTAAATTTCCAGTTTCAGCTCTACTTTGCGATCCATTTATTTATCAAAATTGCGTATATTTATTCAATCGTTTCGAGAGTACTTTATTAAGTGTTCCTATTACTGGTAGAAATCGTGGTCATACTCGAATACTGAATATACATCCGGATGCTCGATTCCAGAAGCCAAATAACAAATATGCAAATCGTTGTTTATTCCTGCTACGTAATATTGTCCTAATTTATTGTCATCAGCGCTTAGATAAGCCTGATGAAGAGCCACAACTTTGGATTCTGAAATTGAAGTATACATATTTGGTCACTTTTAAAAATAAAACTAATACATTGAAAAATATGTGAAATATTTGCTTCTATAGAATAAAATGCTAAAAAAATATAAAAATTAACAATGATTGCATTAAAAAAAAATAAATAAACAAAAAAATAATTTCGAAATTAATTTGTAATTAATCAAATTATTTTTTCTTCAAACAATTAATGAACAGAGCTATTTCTTTTGAATTTTACATAATTACGAAATATTTCTAATGAAGTTTTTAAATATCATTTTAAAAGATTTGGAATTAATTTTCAGAACGATGACCTGGCATCGATTACATCTTATTCTCAATCATCATTATCCTGTTGGTTTGGTAAACTTTCAAAAGTCAATCAAAGAAGAATTAGCATATTTGCATGGTGAATGTGGACGTATTAAATGTCAGGAAAAGGTGCATCTCTATCAATTAAGTACAACGCAGGATTCCATCATTATGGTTCATTTCATATTACTCAAAAATTAACAGAAAAAGTTTAAAAAAAAAAATTAATGGTTGTTTCAAAATTAAATGAATGAACTAATCGCTAAATTTGAAACTTTTATATATTTATGGCTCAAAAATTATTTTTTTTAACTTAATACTTCTTCGCTATTATTTGAAAAAATCTTGCTTTTTTTTGGTGCTTTTTTGATGAATTAAAGTAAATT